TGAAGAGTCTACAAAACCTTGAGCGTGATCTAAAACCGCTTGAAGACAAGATTCATTACTTGGAGAAGCTGGCTGCTGAGGTATCCATACGAATCTTGTTTACCTGTATAATTACGAAGGTTAATATTCTGTTCAGGTGAAAAAGAAGAATCCGGAAGAAGCTGCAGCAATTGAGAAAAAAATTGCGCAACTACGAGCCCTCCATAATGACCTTCTACGTAGAGCTCATGACAAGATTAAGATTGCCGAACAATCCCAAGGTGATCAGATTTTGAACTAATTTCACGTAATTATACGAAGATGTGCTGTTTAGGTCAGGAAATGTTTGAATCGGCTCTCAAAGATGTGCTCAATTGGATTGATAGAACGAAGAAAGCCCTTTCCGAAGACGTGCGTGCTCTAGATGTGCAGCAAGCTGAGGATCTTCTAAAGAAGCACTATGAACTTGGTGAACAAATCAAGGATAAGAAATATGAGGTGAATTCTCAAAAGTAGATGTCGAGGAATTATATGTCAATGGGTTTTATAGGTGGAATATGTACAAGAACTCGGACGACGTCTGCTTGAAAAGAATCCACGACTTCGCGAAGTTGAAGCGCAGCTAAAACATCTTGGAACGGAAATGGCCATAGTCAAGGTATGTTTTTCCTATATTCTTGGTCCATTTGAGTTCTCTACACCGCCTTAACAATACTTTTTCCAGAATATGTACCGCATTCGTGATGCTCAGTTGAAGGAGCAACTTGACCTGCAATTATTCAACCGTGAAGCAGAACGTATTGATGCTGCTACTAAGGGACATGAAGCTTTCTTGGACTACGCTGACCTTGGGGTGAGCCTGATTATAACTTTCTGATTTTTCAATGCTTCTGAAATTTTCTACTAGCTTGCAGTCTGCTACTGGTTTTCCAATATGTTTTATTTGTATAGGACTCCGTGGAATCTGTAGAAAATCTTCTGAAACGCCATCGCGATCTGGAAGCTAAGTTAGATGCTCAGGAAGGCAGGCTTGCTGCCTTCTCTAAAAATGCAGATGAACTTATCAAGAACAAACATTCTGAGAGCCCATACATAGATACAGTAAGTGGTGT